CCCCCTCCCCCCCCCCTCCCCCCCACGGTCCTGCACGGGGATATACCCATCACTCACTGCAAGGTTAAAGGACTGTGAGTAATGCTAAACAGCAGTAAAAAAGTGATACTGGCATGCATGTGCATTTAATTTGCTCAACAGCTATATAGAAATAAATATAGATATATATAGAAACACTCAAAAAGTAGAAGCTTGCAAGGTAGGTAAAATATATACATATAAAATATTATTATTACTATTTTTTATGAAACATATATTCTATATTAATCTTATTTACACAAGTATAGTATCAATTGTTTTTGAACAATCCAATTGAACCTTTTAAAACACGAGTAACAAAACTATACAATTTGCACTGCTACAAAACTAATCCTAATCCTACAAATTTCATTTCTGAATTCGTTTAGAAATATAGTATTCGGCTTCTGGGGAAATGTATACACAGCACCCTGCATGTCCTAAAAGTGTGTACAGCTGGCAGGAAAATAACTGAAAATTTGGAATAAGTTACTTGTTCGATATACCCTCTTTTTAACTGGTTTTCAGAAAAAAACAAAACAAAAAAACAAACACAAGAAAGGGCAACAGCTGCTGTAGATTGATTACTGTTGTGTGCTAATAATCATGTTTCACACGTGAAGTATCTTTCTCCTAATAGGTCTGACCTATTAGCTCTGACCTATGAGTTCTGACCAATTAAGTCTGACCTATAAGTCTGACCAAATATGTCTGACCTATTAGGTTTGACCTATTAGGCCTTGTGGAATATGTCTGAGCTGATAGTAAGACCTTTACCTTAAGAATGCCACAATCCAAGGGGCTGAGCTTTTTGAACAGCTGACTCTTAAACTAACTACATATATGTACAAGGCACTATGTATAAGGCAGCATATCGTCAAAGGTTCTTCTGGAGTTTGTAGGTCTTGATACATTTTGTGCACCTGCTGTCTTGACATTGGACTGAAGATTGATCAGTTGTCCCACAGTAACCTTCATGGTGTGTTTCTGAAGGAGAAGACTGTCTTTTTCTTGAAGCTGAATTACAAGATCTGATGACACTTCTGTTAAGAGTAGAACACAAAAATCAAACAATTAAAGTATGCAGTAATTAAGAAATAGAAAACATTTTCCCCATTTCTACTGAGGCTATAGAAACAATAGTGAAAGTTTGCAAGAGCAAGAAAACCCTTGGGTGGCAAGTGTTTCCACCATTTGTTTATAAGTTCTCTCAAACTTGCATGAGTGTTTCTATGACTTGATAGAAAAAACAAAGGTGTTCTCTATTTCCTCGAGAAAACAGTGGGAGAAAAAGAAAGAAAAATAACTTGTCTAATTTGATTATCAAAGCGTAAATTCTCTTTGCTTGTAAATGACATTTTGATATAAACTGATATAAATTTGAAAAAAGGTGGGCTGACATTTCCCAAATTTACCCAAATGCAATCCATTTTAATCCCCTCCAGTTTTGTCCATCCATGTCCCTTCTTGGTTTTCCTGTGTTTTGTTTGAGATCTTCCATAGTCTTGAGCTGTTTTTGTGAGATTTTAGTTAATTCTATGACCATTTGATCAGTGCTGAAATTGCCTAAAATTGCATGACCTAACCCATTTAACCTCAAAAACATAGCAGCCTACCATTCCCAACAAGATGACTTAACTGCAAGATACAACAAATGACAATGTGTATGATTAACAAAGCCTCAAAATTGAACATCAAATTACGCACCTGAAAAGTGATTATTTCTCTCATACTACCCCTTTATATGATCCATACAGATCTTTTTTTTTCTGTTAGGTGGAGTGAGTATCCTGTGACAACACTTACTGTTAATTTTCAATATGAGATCCTCAATAAACTCCTTCAGCTGGGTCAAATCACAATGCAACACTGAAATCAACAACAGTTGGAAATAAACATACATGTACATGTACGTCTGTTCTGATGACAGAGATACTGGGAAGACTAATAATGGCTTATCAGTAGTCTCTTGGTCCAAGATAAAAATAGATCTCTAGAAAATGTCCAAATTCGATATTGATAAAGACAACTTCCTAGATTCTCAAGGATTTCATGAATTTACATGTACAGGTACAAAATAAATTGTCCACAAAAGAATTATTATGTGTGGTTTTGGAAAACAGGCTTGTCCTAATTGATAAAGTTGCAGTTCAGTGTTATTTACCCATCTTGTCAGTACGTAATAGTAACTGGACCAAGTGAAGAGTACAAAATGATACAGAGACTAATTGGACAAGTAATTTTCAAATCGGCAGGGCACACTGCGCAATACTGATGTAAATTAAAAGAACAACTTATTGTCAGTACTACATGAAGTCAAGTAAGTTAACAATATTAATAACAATAACAACATCATCTATATTGGAGCACAATCGAGAAGGCCACAAAAGACTGGTTAGCATGGAAAAGCCTTGTTACCACCCTCTGTGCCAGCCAGCACTATGGGGATGACCGACTGACTTATTCATGCAATCTGATGTGAATTTAACCCATTGATTCCCGGAGCTTTTTGCCAAAAACGCATTTTTCAGACATTTTGGAGACTTTCAGTCTGGATATGAGCCAAATTAGCTCCAATCTACTCAAAAAGGCATTTTGCAACATGACAGCATGCCTTTTTTTCCACTAGCATCATGTTTTAGGAGATTTTTGCTCAGGTATGCGCAGAGGTTTTTGGATTATTATTATGAGAAAGTGACCCACGTCTTTAGGCTTTTTGTTTTTTTTTTACATTCTTATTTCGCCTTTCCTTTTTCTCGTTTTCTTATCTTTTTGCTACAGTGATTGACCTCCTACTGGGCTTGCTTCCAGTTCAAAAATTTCTGAGAAAGCATCATCGAGATGGGCAATTTTTACCATGGAGTAGCTAAGTGTAGTCACAAGATATTTTGCTCCAAGTCTTTCATTCAAATTTCTGAGCATTTCGGTATTTCAGGCTCCATTGAGCTGACCACTCTGATCTTGAAAGATCTTTTCCTCCCGCAGAACTTGAGTATAAGTGATGCCAATTTTAGTCAAAGGTGATGACATCAGAAGTGGAACAAAGGCCAACACTTGTTCCAGGCGGGTACAGGCGGCACGGGAGTCAATGGTTTAACAACTCTAACCCTAAACCAGATTAGTAGAATTCTACTAGTATACGAAATACTGGTAAATGCAAATGCTGCAATCTGACTGGCTAGCTACTCATACACTATTTAAACAATAGAGTGTTTCTGTCGAGGAACTATGGGCTGATAGTTGCCCTGCAGAAATTTGATCTTCTTAAAACAAATATTTGCCCGAAAAGCGAAGCTTAGAGGGCAAATATGCTAGTTTTAAGAACATCAAATTTCCAGGGGATAACTATCAGACCGATAGTTCTGAGACACAAATACTCTGTTGTCTTTATTGTTCACCACTAAATTTTCTTTCACGTGCCAGTTCAAAACTTATGTTAAATTACTTATTCAACTTTTTTAGATGAAAGCAGTGAAAGCCAAATGTAAAATTTAAAAAGGAAAATAAACAAAACCCACTTAATACAATTTCAATTGTTTAGTTTTTTATAAGCTCACTTGTTTACAGAAAATTTTTCACGGACGAGTACTATCTATCCGGGCATTTTCCTCAGACAGGCACTATGGGCTGATAGTGTCTCTCCGCCGATGAACATTATCGAGTCATGTGATCAATTTAAACTAATAAGAATTGGAGAAAATTTAGTGGTGGACTATAAGAGCTGATAGTGTCTCTCCATGGATGAACACCATCGCCTCACATGGTCAATGTAAACCAATAGGAATCAGAGAAAATGTAGTGGTTAATTATAAAAGCTATTAATTAGAGTGCAGTGGCCAGAGGTCCTCCACATAATGACAATGTTTTCTAGTTTCTCCAATATTGCAAGGAAAATTTGGAAATATTACTTGATGATTAAATACTCAAGAACCATAAACATTTAGGAAACTGACTATCATGTGACTTGAAAACCTCCAAATTTTCCAATGAATCAATGAGTGCACCATGCACAAATGCAAGTTTGAAATAACAATTCTATCTGCAAGTGCTATTTTGCTAAAATTGATCATGAAGTTCACATTATGTTGAGAAATGATTGGAAATCATATTTATATTTGATGGAAATTTAGCTCCAATTCTACTAAAACAATAATTCACTTTCAATTTTTATGAGGTGATAGTCGATTAAGCCTTTAGCCTCATCAGCTATCACCACCAACTATCAACGGATTGTATACAATGATGTAATTTCAAGTTTATTTGGAAACGAATATGTGAAGTCATGTTTAATCACACGTAAAGTGCATGCATTTATGCCAATGTTTGATTTTTTTGGAGATGTCGAGAGTTCATCTGGTGATTTGTACAGTATTGTATGTTATCTTCTTTCTCAGTTTGTGAGCGAGCAGAATTTAACAAATCCTGCAATCTGATTGGTTCCTAGAGCAGGCAGAATTTTTTTTATCCGAACCACCATAGTGGGCAGGATCCATCAAGTTGATTTATTTTGAATTTGTCAACGAGTTAGTGGTAATCGTTAATCTTTTCCCTTTTCACACTTCCATAGATGTTTGATCAAGGCAAGTTTATCTCTATTCTCCTTTAAATGGCAAGGAAAGTCACTGTAAGTAAAGTTGTGAGTAATTTGTGAGAAATTGTTTGGCTGTTTGTAACTCGGTGCTGTAATGGTGTGTAATCCTGTGTGTCTCTCTTTGTACAAATTTAAGTAAAAAAATGAGTCTACTCAATTGTAATTGGGCTTATCTCTCTGATCGTTGCTGTGTTTGAGAGAATTTCTGTGGAATACACTTGACAAATTTCCTAACTATCTGCTACTCAAATTACCGTAGAAAAGTCTGACTTCGAGTGATTTGTAACAACTGACAGAAATTGTCTTTTTAGTACAACTTCAAACTTTGCACAAAATTTCACACAGGAAAAACAATTTTGGAGAACTTAACTGGTGAACTAAATGCAACTAACATAAAGTAGTTCGAAATAAATCTGTTCTTTAATAGATCTTTTTTTGTCCAGTATCTGAGTTACTCGCTCGTTTGCTTGTTAGATTTTTACAAATGGTTTGTAGATGCCGCATAAGCCAAAATTCAATGACAAAGTTGCATAAACAAACCCACTTGTAAGTCAATTTACCACAAGAAAAAAGATAAACATGTTATTGGCTGGCTTAGGGTTGGCCCGTACAGTGGAAAACTGTGACCTCGGGTTTGAAAATGCTGCCCTCAGCCTGCGGCCTGACGGGCAGCATTTCAAGACCTCTGTCACAGTTTTTCACTATACAGACCTCCCAGCCAGCCAATAACATATATTTATAACAGTGTTGTACACATTAAATATCCTGTTGAATGTGCTCAGTTTTGTCCATCCATTTTCATCGGAAATTTCCACCCATTTTGGGCAGCCCAGCAAAAGTAAACACTTAAAATATAAGTCACAACTAAAGGGCTATATGAATGACATCACGCATTTAAGTGACACTGACCACTGTTTGATGTTTTCCTAGAAAGAGAAAATACATCTGGTACATTCTACAATATAATCATGCCTTTTATTATACGATCTACCGTTGGCGACGCTGATGAAAGCAATCAGGAATGACCTTCAAAACTAATATTGAAATGAAACTTGCCCATTCTAACAATATTGAAAAGCGAATATTGGACATTCCTTTTTTAAGAAACCATAACACAGAATTCAGTAATTTCAAACTTGCCTGGTTGCAATTGACTCGGCCAATTTACTATACATCGTAATTACTAAATTATAAACCAACCATGCATAACAAACCAGTCAACATAATCAATGTCAATAAAACCTACATAATACAGCAAGACAAATCAAATAAATGTATGAAAACAATCTCATGGACTTCTCAACAACAATAGTGTGTTTTACACACCTGAAAAAAAAGTGAGCTTATATGTACTTACATGTCGACCTTGTGTGCCGAATAAAGTTTCGTTCCCTTGAGATAGACACAGCTGCAACAGGTTCATTGTCGTCAACTTCGCTGTCTTCCAAGTCAACGGAACGTATACGGACTTTACGTTTTGGCCACTGACCATGCTCATTCTCGACAACTTCCACACGATAAGCTTCTTTACTCTCAGTAAACACAGACTGTTGGGCATTACCTGGCAGCTGTCGATCAGTTTGTTCGTCTGCATGATCCAAATGATCAGTTGGGGT